TTCGTGAAATACTAGAAATAGGATAGTGATTCTCCATACATATATTGTTACTAGATTATATTTAATTTTTAGAAAACATGTTCATAAAACATTTATTTAGATATAATTTTGAGAAGAAAAATTAATAATTATTTCTTGTCATACAACGGTCATTCAGCTTGTTGGTTATAGAGTAGTCTAAGAGTTTTTACATTTTGAAAATGATCTTGTGTTGATAAAGGAATTTCTATAACTAGATATAAAATACACGGAACCTTATTTAAGAGCAGTAAAAATGTACAAACTATTTAGTTTTGTTTTTCTTTTAATAAACAACAAGGAGCTCTCTTTCGTGATATAATCACATATGAAAAAAAAAGGTAAAATGAATTTGAAGAGATCGGCGCAATTTTCATAGCTCAGTAAATAGTGGTCTTCATATTATTTCCATGTGAGAAGAAGACATGCATCGATATAGTTTATCGTTTGCTTAAATCACTTAAAGTTTTTGTGCTTTTATTACAAAACAGCAATTTAGACCAGAATGATAACAAATATATGTATTGCTACCACAACAGAAAAATCTCCAAGGCTAATCAGTTGTTCTTTAGAGCTATCCATTCACATTAAAATGCTTTTCTTGTGACACTTATGAGGACTTGTTTTGTAGAAAACTATCAACTATATTTACGCATTGTTTTATTAGTGTTTTTGACTGCAGTATAATTCGTAAGGTGTTAAGCTGTTTCAGCCAAACTTCACACATATATTTACATGAAATCATTGCAATTCTAGATGAAACAAACCTACCGAGGACAAAGGAAAGCCAACTCACTCCTAATTCCATGTTTATATATATATATAACTATTAGAAGATATGTACCATCGAATTATTATCATATTACACTTTCACGTGTTGAACGTCTTCTTACGACATGCAAATTTCTACGTCAGTGAAATTTTTTAAAACTCTGGTTTGACTGTTTTTAAACACAAAGCTATACAGTGACATTAGTGGAATACTTTTAGTTATACACAATCATTATTGTAAAATACCCTGCGAAGGTCAGTACATTTTTATTTCAGTCATCTTTTAAACACACTAATATGTCTTGGATCACTTTATTAAGTAATTAAAAGAACATATATGATTAAAAAATTACACTTTCTTGGTGCTTCAACATTTTTACACTAACAATTATTCGTTATATACTTTCAGACAAAACATTTCAGTTAAAAATGAATTATTAATTGTCCGCATGGCATGTTTTTTAAATACATGATAAACGAAATATAATTAATTAAATTAACAACATCATCGATCTTTAACGTAGCCATGGCCTGACTGAAACTGTTTAATTTTTACTTAAATTAGAAATTGCTGCGATATTTAGGATTAAACCAGCGCCCATAATATGCAAAAGAACAAAACACATTTTCTGCACATAGTCACACACACACACGTACAAAAAAAAAATATTCTTTAAGGAATAATATATCAATAGTTAAAAATTATTTGCCTATAATCACAGTCTTTCGCTAAAACGTGTTTATAGTTTTTTTAAAAAAAGCAAACACTAGCAGTGACCCGTAAAGTATTTGTGGTCAAATTAGTATCTTTATTGTAACAGTACTTCTTTAAATAAAGGATTTCTATATAATACAAAAGAATTCTAATAGCAGACACTGAAATATATAAGTGCATCTTAGGCCTAACGTCAGTTAAGCCTTTATTAAGTACAGCCTATATTCGATAAGGAGATAAATTAATACAGAAACTTGTGTACGTTTTTTGCTTTGGTCTAGTTAAGGCTCAACTTTACCGTACTTAATACTAACAATACATAAACGTATAATGTTATTCTACGAAAAAAAAGAAAAGAAAATTTCCTGACAGGAAATTATTTTTAAAAGATAAAACTTTCCTCAACTGGGGTGTTCAGGAATACTGTTATCCCCCTTCTACGACCTAACTTTAGATCTTCTTTAAAACTCTAATAAGCTTTTAGTATGTTGCTGTACACAATGTCTACTGCGGTATATTTACATCAGTTGAAATGAAAGTGCGCGTGCATGCGCAATTAGATATTTTCAAGCAAGCATAAATGCTTGAAAAATATCACAAAGTATAACAGAAACAGATAAGACGTGAGAATATCATCAACTCACCTTCACAAGATGGACAGCATTCACCAGGTGGCGGGGGATGAGGATTACGGCATGGAACGTGGCAGTAATTCTTAGCTTCTGTGAGCACCCCAGACTGACAATAACAATGAGAACAATTTTACTGGTAAATATAGCATGGAAATAAAAGGTTGATTTATTGATGGGGTACAATACATTAATCATATTCTAATAACTTCAAATGGCTAGAAATATTATGTGATAAATGTTGGCTCAAGGCTGGAAAAACATGTGTTTCCCCTCATAATACTAAGATGAATTTAAACTGTATGAATATTTATATGTATATGAAAGAAATCATCACAAACATAAAAACATGTGTTTCCCCTCATAATTCTAAGATGAATTTAAACTGTAGGAATGTTTATATGAATATGAAAGAAATCATCACAAACATAAAAACATGTGTTTTCTCTTATTGAATTATATTTGAAGTCTTAAAGCAAATTTGAAATCTCTATATGTTGTTGGTGTAACTATAATTCACCTAATCATAACAGGCTGAAGAACTGGAAGATGAACATCTGATAGCAGCTTTAGCTGTAATGCTCCTGTTTTCAGAGATGTGGTATAAAAGGTGCAACTCAGGCTAGATCGGTACTCGGTAAGTTACTGAGATGTTGTGTCAATTGTGGACAACTTAAAATACTATTTGTGGTAACCTATGAGATCTATCAACCACATCGTAATAAGTTACTGAGATGTTGTGTCAATTGTGGACAACTTAAAATACTATTTGTGGTAACCTATGAGATCTATCAACCACATCGTAATAAGTTACTGAGATGTTGTGTCAATTGTGGACAACTTAAAATACTATTTGTGGTAACCTATGAGATCTATCAACCACATCGTAAATATATAACTAAATCTAACGACTGTGATTTGAAAATAAATTTACAGCGTTGCACTGTGAGTAGTTACAACGTCTCAGTTTCAGTTGTTGAATGTTTTATATGATTTATATTAACTTCGCAGAAATACATTACTTGACCTTTGTTTTAACGCTGCACCTGGAAATTTAGAACCTTATGTTTTTAACGCAGTTTTATGTCTACATCAAAAACTTTCTGTCCAAAAAGTATTTGTTTAAAGCATAACAATATGTATAAGCAGTAATTTTAACTTAAAACAAATAAATTTGTGGTTATTTACGACGATCACATTCAGCTGCCTTGAGGTCAGCCATTGTTCAAAACACTAATTACATCTACCAGAGATATATTTTAAGTTTGGGGCTATAAAAAAGGGAACAATCCAACATTTTCACAAGCGTTTAATCGTAAAATTACCGATGGAAATCCATGTGAGCCTTATCTTTTTTTTAACACATTTTATCTTACATTTATGCACCAAATTGCTTGTAGATCTACGACATGGTCCCTAATAACATCAAAAAATGCAACAAAACTACCATTAATGTTGCAAATAATTTCACTAATTTCTGCTAGACGTCCTGTATGCATTTTACATAGAAAATGGGTGTTTTCAAGAAATTTTGTTGGTCAGTTGTTTTTTTTTCGCTTAGTGTTACAACGGGAAAAACATAATATGGTGAAGGATATAATAACAAGTCGGTAATTTTAAAGTTAAACACCTGAAGATAGGAAACCCTACCAATAATTGATATTAATAACATGTATACTGACGTCATCAACAAAGTTCTAGCAGAATGTTTTGTTTCACAAATGATTTGCTGCTGATTGGTTGATTGGGGTGGGAGGTGGCAAACAGTTCAAATCCGTAAGAATATTTCTGTGTACACATTTGCAAATGATATAGCTGGAACTTCTACATTTTATCACAGTGATTTTATTTTACTTGGGAATATGAAGCGACTTGGTTTATAAAAGGAGGGTAAAATGAAAACAAAACTGACAGTAGTAATAACCCATACATATTGTCTTCAGACACAAAAAATCTTACTGTAACTTTACTTCTTTTAACCGATTTGGAAACGAGTTTTGTTATGTAAGATTTTATCGTCACAATAATAATGGCGTTAAAACATTAAACAGGAACTTTACTTGTCTACCAAACCATATGATCACCAAGTCAGATCACAGTTGCTTGTGTTTGTATGTATACAAGACCTCACTTGCGTTTGGTTAGGCCCACGTCTTCCTGATGTCTCCCATGTTATACACTAGTCTAGTGAGTGTATCTTGTGTACCTCTGAAGGCATGCTATCTTATTATATATTGAATTTTACTGTTTGTGTCAGATTGACATAAGGACTTTACATCTCTTAAAATCTCTTTACTGATACCAAGAACTCGCTGTATTTGCTTACGTACGTTGAAAAATAGCGCCACTAGTGGGAAGCTTTTTATCGCCACATATTTCTCATTTCTATTTCTCTATACAAATACAAATTACACAGATTAGTATACTAATGGGTATAAAAACCCATTGTGTTTCACTTTGGATTATTTATAAACAATTCTTTATATTATATTATTTATACGGTTATTTATTAATATTATTTATATTTACTAAATCACCGAAGTATTATTTGAATTAACTGTCTTAGAAGTTTCGTGCAAATCTGCACAAGAACTATCTGCGTATAACCGTCCCTTTTTCTGAACTGACAGACCAGAGGGGAAGAAGGCAGTTAGTCAACAGCACTCACCGAAATCTTGAGCTATTTTAGTCTGACTGGATAATGGGATTCGACCGTCATTCTTACAGTGTACCCCTCCCCCCGGGTTCAAATCTGTGGAGTGAGAGCAATGAACCCTCAGATTCACAGTTAGGGCAAGTTATGCACTGAGCAACGCCCAGCCCATGATTTAAAGTAAAATACCCATTAAAGACGACTCATGAATGTAAAATCGTGAGAAACACATAGTACGTCTTTTTAATCTGTTTTGTCACTAATACCTATTTCATTATTATGTACAAAACTTTGTTCTAACCTATATTTCTGTAAACTATTTAAACAAAAGAAAGATTTAATCACCTTATAAAATTCGAACAGTAAATGGAAAATAATTACCTCACATGAAAATGTCCTGCAAGGATCAATAGAATCAGTCCAAATAGTCCCACTTTCGTGCTTTGTACCATTGAAAAAGCAGTCTGAAAAATATTAAATTAATTTTACCGCCTATATATCGTTGAAGTATCTACTGTTAATCTTATATACATATATATTTGTTTAGCAAAACAGTACTGAAAACTTAGTATACTCTAATATTATAGTTTTAAAGTTAGGATTCTTAATACTAGAGTTTTTGAGCAAAAACGTATTGATTAAAACTGACACCTTTACAAATAGATCATAATAAGGTAATTTTACTGAATCTTTCATCCTAAACATCACAGTTCTTTGTGAAAACTATATAAAACTATCATTCTAACGATCAACAACTCTTTATTTAATTATATAAGACATACACTATAAGAATCAAAGATTATCTGTAAGAAACTAACATCATGAGATTCAACAGGTCTTTATGTAACTATACGATACTGACACCTTAATAATCAACAAGTGTTTTCATACGACTAAATGAAACTAACATCCTGAGAATCAACAGGTCTTTATGTAACTATATGATACTGACACCTTAATAATCAACAAGTGTCTTCATACGACTAAATGAAACTAGCATCCTGAGAATCAACAGGTCTTTATGTAACTATATGATACTGACACCTTAATAATCAACAAGTGTTTTCATACGACTAAATGAAACTAACATCCTAAGAATCAACATGTCTTTATGGAACTAAATAAAACTGACATCATAAAAATAAAAAAGTCTTGATGCGACTAAATGAAATCAACATCATAATAATCAGTAGATATATTTATATTGAAAATGACATTCGTTAAAACTGATAGATTTTAAGCGAATAGTATTGAAACTGACAAAATTACGATTGGAGGTTTTGGCTTAAAAATATTAAAACTCATTTAAAAAAGTATAGTAATAATATAGAATTTGGCACGCCTTAAATAAAAGGTTGTAGTAGAGTAGCTATATCGACATAATCTCTAAGTTTGTAAAGTTGTGTTGGCACCTACAAACTCCACCACTGTTGGGGTATTCAATCATTATGTATATCTTTGTGTACGTTGGTATGACAATTCAGTCACTATGCAGTCCAATTTGAGGGCTTCAAGTAAATACAATTGAAGTCCGTCCGCAGAATGTTTGAAAGGAGGGGGTCTAATTTGTGAGATCAAAAGCCAACACATAATGTGCGAAGCATGCTAATGCTACGAGGGTCTGGGGGTATGCCCCCAGAAACCTAATGTAAAGAATCCGGGCTACAGAACCTGACAGTAACAATACGGCTTCGGAATTCCAATTAGCAAGTGTCAACAGAAGCCATTGTATACGACTATTTCAAGCCATAAAATGCTAATGTTTCATCAGAAGAATGTTGACTATGTATAAAACATTAAATACTAAAAGCAGCTGCGCTATAACTATATAAGGATAATTTTTGCATCACAAAAATAGGGGGTTCTGCTGAACCCCCACCTGTGTACGTGCGTGTAATTAGTTTGATTACAGGATATGTTTACTGGCCACGTGGTGGAGTTTGAGAATTCCATAACAGTGTATAACTCATACTGAGATAATTAAAGATTGTTTCTGGATGTTTCCAGTGTGCTATTTTTGTACAGGGTTTACATTTCTATCACGAGGTGGTCGTCCCCTGTTGAATGTATTTAATTATTGAGTGGCAGAACATTTTACAAGTATCAACTTTCACTTACTATAGAAACAGGCATTCATTTGTGCTCAGTTCACATATTATTTTGAGTCTGACTTGTGTAGCCTTTTTCTTACTAACCAGCCCAAGTTACTTATTTATTCAAAGTTGGTTATGACATCTAAAAATTTGCTAGAATGTATACCTATCTCATAGTTCAAAATGTTTATGAAATATCCTTGGTTTACAAACTATGTTTTACTCACCTTTACATAGATCACAATAAACTACGCTTTACTCACCTTTACATAGATCACAACAAACTACACTTTACTCACCTTTACATACATCACAACAAACTACGCTTTACTCACCTTTACATACATTACAACAAACTACGCTTTAGTCACCTTTACATACACCGCAACAAACTACGCTTTACTCACCTTTACATACATCACAACAAACTACGCTTTACTCACCTTTACATACATTACAACAAACTACGCTTTAGTCACCTTTACATACATCACAACAAACTTCGCTTTACTCACCTTTACATACATCACAACAAACTACGCTTTACTCACCTTTACATAAATTACA